AAAGTCATTTCAGCCAAAGCATAGGCCACATGCCTATGATTGAAGTGATGGTGACAGAGAATAACTCACCACCAGCCAAAAAACACTTTTCAAGGGCATGACAAGTAAATAAGTGATGACTCACTGCCCTCCGAAAGTTATCAGCTAAAGGCAGAGTTGAGACGGTTGGGCCAAATTGTCTATAAAAGCTAAGAAGGGCACCAGAGATAAGGACACTCAACCAACCAAACTCTGCTCTCAAGCCAGTTCGTACCCAGAAAGCTGAATTTTGTCTAGATCCAGTCATTTTTAGCTATAGTTCCCTCATAGAAAGTCATCTTTTGTCGAGATTATAAGCTCTGCTACCTTCCCTTAGTGTTGTAGTATCGATCCCCTCTAGTGAAACCTATTTACTTTTCATCCCTCACTGCATACAAACCCTTGTAAACATAAAGATAAGTGGTTGCAAGAAATTGAACCTCGCCCAACTAGGTTAAATCTTGTCCGAGTCTCTTTTGTTTGTATTTACATTTAGTAAATTTGTCGTTTAATGTACTTTCCTTCTTGTTTCTTACATTCTTTATTACTCCAGATAACTAGAGTTAACTAAAGGGGTGGAAGTTTGCCCTTTAATTTTATAAACATTATTAGTCAATAAAATATGGTATAAACACACATAAAGAATTGCTCGTCAAGTCATAAGTTATTCATCCAACTCCATGGAGATTTATGGTTGGAGAAATTTTTCTAAGTACCTAGCACCTATGCTGACATGGAGTTCCACCAATAATCACTTAACACCTTTATATTTTTATTCTTTTAAATCTAAAAGAATGCCAGCTCTTTCAAAATAACCTCAAAAAAAAAAAAAAAAAAAAAAAAAATCAGAAACTCACTACTACCCTCAATCTTACGACATCGATCAACCACCCAGTGCATCCATCACCGGCCGGCGATTTTACTAGCTTCATCCATCCCTTCTCTCTCTTCGAATTTCTCCTTTTTTACTTCCAATTTTTCTCTCTCACTCTTACTTCTACATGGAACCCAAGAATTGTCGGCGGCGACTCCAACTCAGATCTATCAGCCGCGGAGGTCGCTGACATTCTTTGTGTTCTTTTTCTAGCACAGAATAAATAAAAAGGGAAGAGAGAGAGAGAGAAAGAAAGAAAGAGGGGTAGGGAGAGATGTGAGGGGATGGATCAGGGGGATGGTGGGGATAAACGTGACGGCAGACGGAATGGAAGAATCTCATCCTCTTATTTCTTTTTCTGCCGCATAAGAAATAAAAAGGGAAGAGAGAGAGAGAGAAGGAGAAAGAAAGAAAGGGAGAGAGAAAGAGAGAGAGGTGAGGGGATGTAGGGGATGGGTCGGGGGATGGACGTGACGGCGAATGGAACAGAAGAATCTCATCCTCTTATTTCTTTTTTAATTATTTTCTAAAAATAAATATGTTGATGCACAAAATCCGGAGGATCTTCGACCAACGTAAATCCGGCCGTGAATCACACAAACGCACAAGAACACAAAGATGTATCGTGGTTCACCCTAACATTTATGCTACATTCACACTGATGTTGATTCCATTTACTATATGAATATATGGATTACAATAGATCGACAATGGAGCTCTCTGTGGATGCAGCCCTTGCCATTTTGCTCTCTGTTTGGCTGAGAGAGTATTGCCCTCTATATTGTTGTGAGGGTTGAGTATGAGACTCTTTGGATCTTCTGGATGTGAGACCTTGTTCATAAGGGTGAAGGAGAGTCCCTTTTATAGAATAAGGGCCCCCTCCCCTTTAACACAAATCATGGGCTTAGGGATGAGGCCCAATATATGGTACCAACAGGAATCCTCCAAGTCTTCAGTCAAGAGAGTCTTTTGGCTGGAGACTTCAAATCCAATCCATGTGTGGGTTGAAGTGACTAGATGTCTTGAACCAATACTCAACACAAGGCAATGCTCAACATAAAGCAATGCTCGGCTAGATGTATCACACGTTACGAGACTGCTCGGCTGGAGGCGATGCTCGTTGCGAGGCTGCTCGGCTAGAGGCTATGCTCGCGGCGAGGCAGTTGCTCAGCTGGAGGCGATGCTCGTTGCGAGGCTGCTCGACTAGAGGCTATGCTCGCTGCGAGGCAGCTCGGCTCGTGGTATTCCTCATTGCAAGTATTTACTTTATGTCGACATGCACTCAGTATAAGTTAATTCTCAACATGATTCGGGTCCGCTTGTCAGGTTTGCATATTGGGTTCTTTTAATCAGCAACAATGTTGATCAGTGGATCTAGTTGCTTAATAATTCCTGACAATAAATGACAGTATAAGTATGACCGTATAACGAATAAATCAAATTGACAAAGTTTGTCAAGGTAAAATATTGTACTACGTGCCTTCTATAAATAAATAATTTATTCTGTTGTGTGGTAAATCACATGTTGTATAAGTGACATAGTTTAATGGCATTCATAATACTCTAGGCCATGAATAAATATTGTATAAGTAATTTGGTTAAATATATGTCACTAGGCAATATGTTAACAAATATCATAATATAATAACAATAAAATATTAAATAAATGATGAAAACATAATGATGTTTTCTGAAAAGGAAAAGTAAAGTTTTCTTTATTTTTTTATTTTTGACAGACAATATAGGAATAATAATATAATTAATAATAGAAAACTTATCTTCTTCCTGGTTTTCCGCCAGACAGTGAAGATAGCAGCGCATGTGACCAGTCGTAATCGTGTTTTCCGCTTCCTTCTCTTCCCTTTTCTCCACCTCCAGACATCCTTTTTCTTTTTCTCCAACTCCAGACATCCTTTTCCTTTTTCTCCACCTACAGACATCTTTTTCCTTTTTCTCCACCTACAAATGGCTGTTTTCTTTTATATATTTTTTTATATTGCAGCAACCTCGGGAGCATCAACAACATCAAAAGAGCATCAAAACAAAGCTGCATGCAAACAACGAAGCTGAAGCTCCTTAGAAACGTCGAGAGTAATGGGGAAGGATGACGGTGACTTGGAGACGATGAGAGTCAACTCGGGATCCGAATCTGGAAGAGGAGCATTCTCCCGGAGATTCTCTCCCATCGCCGGAGTTCAGCTGGCTGATTGGACCATTTGAGCCGCGGTAACAAGTGTTAACCGAACGTGGTAACATAAACCTGTAAAGTGAGACCAATTTGGAGATTTGAAAAGTTGCAGAAGCATACAGAATCTCCACCATGAAATCAACCACCGGTCGACAAGCGACATGAGCGCAAGCGTCGTCCACGCCGATGTAAATGCCTTAGGCAATAACCTAAGCTTCCCGCTGTACACATACCCCAAAACGGTAAGGACATCGTCCAATTCAACGTCGTATTCCTTCGCGAGCTCATTTAATTCAAACCGAGTAGCCGCTAACGATGATCCTCTGTCATTTACCGAGAACACGTTCTTGAAAAATAAGTTTCTCGCCGACAAGACGTAGCGGTAGACGGGAACTCCAGGGTGGCGCTGACGACGACACCTTGTGATGGTGATAAGCCGACGATTTAGTATCCTCCGCTACAGCCGCCGCTTCTGCCATAACAGCTGATGCTGTAGAGGAGGCAGGTTTCGCCGATGCTGTCGTTTGGGCGGAAGGTTTGGCCGATGAGGACTCAGAACGGTGTTGTTTCTGGCAGTGATGATCCTCCTCATGGTCATGGTGGTCGTGCTCCCTCTCACGTTCTCGATCTCAGTCCCGCTCGTGTTCCCTGTCGTGGTGGTGCTGCTCAGATTTCCTCTTTGGAGGACGATGAGGCGGCTGTGGCTCCAGGTCACATGGGTCACGTGAGGGCCTGCATTCTGGCGATTACCTCTTGTGTTGGTGACGGCGGTGCTAATTAGGATAGTATGGGCTTGGTGATCGGACTATTGACTTTTGCACCAACAAATCCTATCATGTTTCCAATGCTGCTGCTGTGTTCTTGGGTTGTGCAGATTCACAGTGGACAGTGGTAAGGTTGGGAAGGTTTCATGGTGGTGAGATGAAAAAATGAAAGAGAACCGACATAGATTTTTGTGTTGTTTCCCACATACGGCGCCAAATGTTGATGCACAAAATCTGGAGGATCTTGGACCAACGTAAATCCGGCCATGAATCACACAAACGCACAAGAACACAAAGATGTATCGTGGTTCACCTCAATGTTTGGGCTACGTCCACACTGATGTTGATTCCATTTACTATATGAATGTATGGATTACAATAGATCGGCAAGGGAGCTCTCTGTGGATGCAGCCCTTGCCATTTTGCTCTCTGTTTGGCTGAGAGAGTACTGCCCTCTATATTGTTGTGAGGGTTGAGTATGAGACTCTTTGGATCTTCTGGATGTGAGACCTTGTTTATGAGGGTGAGGGAGAGTCCCTTTTATAGAATAAGGGCTCCCTTCCCTTTTACACAAATCATGGGCTTAAAGATGAGACCCAAAGACGAGGCCCAATATATGGTACCAACAAATTATAAGGATAAAATAGGTATTTTAATAAAATCATAACCCTACCTGTCACTTAAAGAGTAGTAGCACAGGTGTCAAACATTTATTAGTGGGGAACTCCATGTAAGTATATGTGTCGGGTACCTACAAAAATTTCTCTTATGGTTGATAGGTCCTATAATTTTGTTTGCTTGTTGATTGGTCGTTATTTCTTTGATTTTCTCATTGATCTTCCCCCTTCCATACATGTTTATATATATATATATATATATATATATATATATATATATATATATATATAAATCTTTAAAACCTATCAAGTATATATTAAAAATATTAGAGGATAACACCTAATTAAAAAAAATATGAATACAAAAAGAGTCTTATATAATTAAATTTTTACTACATAAAATTCAAGAAATTAAAAGACATAATAACACTGTGGTTTTGATGTCAAGGTAAGCATGCATCAAATTGGAAACAACTTAAAACACTGTAGAAACAGCAAAACAAATTACAAAAACTACTCAATAAATAGTTGGAGGGAAATCAAAGGGGTGGGATCTGATCATCAACAAAACCGAATTGTTGGTTTGGCACGTCCCCAAGGAACCATGGAACCGTCTGCTTTGTGTATATGTTGCTTTGATCAAACACCTGCGTTTCCATTGCTGCATGCATGTTCTGATCAGTTGTGGCTGCAAGCACTTGTGGTGGTGCGACTTGGGGTTGGTTCATCTCCGCCAGTTCCTTCTCCTTCCGGCTCTTGATCTGTGTGACAATCTCTGTCAAGCTCCCCTTGATCATACAGTCCATATCATTCAAACCGTCTAAGTTCAAGCCAGTAAGGGGTCTCCCAGCGAGGCACTGGTTCATGAGCATCCGGATTTGCTTCTCTCGGTTCTCTTTCTTCAGCTTGTTCAGCTTCTCTTGCTCCTTTTCGATCCTCTGCTTCAGAAACATCTCATGGTTCACCATTTTCTTATTCCGCTCGTCCTCAGGCATGTTCCTGAACTGCGTGATGAGGCGTTGCACTTCTAAAGGATTGGGCCAAACAATAGGTCGAGACTCATATTGACTGTACAGAATACCACATACTGGAACATCACAAAGAATACTAATTTCCTTCATCTTCTTCACGAAGCCCTTCTTCCTTTTATTGTATGATGCTTTTCGACACGCGTCGTTGATGATGTAGGCTAGTTTCACCTTCTTCCTCCCAGCCATGATTTTCCCAATAAAATAGAGAAAAATTTGAGAGAAATGGAAACTAGGGAAAAAGAAGAGGAGAGCCTTAGTGACTTTAGGGTTCTAGTTGGTGTGCTTTAACCCTATACAACATATGCTATTTATAGTATTTTGCAAGGGCTAACCTTAATCAATCATGAAAGATTTTGTCCTCAAAAGAAATTTATTACTTTTACAATGAGATATACAATAATTAATGTAGACTATTTTGGCATATATGTACATTGGGTTTAATATTTATGCCACTAACAAATTCACAATATGAAATCTAGGCTGGGGATTTATTAGCAAAATAGAAGTTTATTTACATGATTTTGATGAATTTTTGTTTGATATTATCCAACCTTTGGTTTTTATGGAAGTTTGTCTGGAATTTTGAATACATAGATGCATGTATGAAAACACAGATTATCCTGTATGACTTATTCATTAGTTAAAATAGAGTTATTATATCTCTATATCTTTTGTAATTACTTACTAATAAGGTTTAATCCATTCTTCTTTCAGAAATTTTTTGTTTGTCACTCTTTTCTGGCATATATTATGAATATACCATATACATCAAGACAACTTAGAGCTTGTTTGGATGTGCTTTTAAAATGACTGAAAACACTTTTGGTGAAAATGTTTTTGGAACCAATTCTTAATAAAAATGCAAGTAAATTCTGGAAAAACATTTAAAGTACTTCCTGGAATAAGCATATAGATGGTGCTTCTTGTAGAAATCACTTTAAGTGCTTTTGGAATAAAAAAATATTTTCTCTAAAAACACTTTCAGTCATTTTAAAAGCACATCCAAACGAGCCCTTAAATTTCTAATTTTACTTTTTCCGTATTTCAAGGTAAAAAATCAAAACATCTTAAGGTAAAAAATAAAAATAAAAACTCTTGAGCGGCAGGACCTATGGTACCGTTTGGTACGTGAGACGGGACGGAACGGAGTAGGACAAGGCATTCCGTCCCACATTTTGTGCGCCTAAAACGGGTGGAACGCGCTGTTCCACGGGACGAATTTTTGATGAATTTTTGTTCCGCCTCACCCCCTAGAATGACTCATTCCACAACTGTGGAACACAAAATTATAACATATCCGTATCATTCTTCTTCCTCCTTGTTTCCATCCGAGGGCATCTTTGTTCCCTCTCCGTTTCTTCCCGTCCCATCTGCATACCAAACAATACCTGTAGGCCATCGAGCTCTCCTCAACCACCACTCCGAATGCAATGGCCTAGCTACTTGAGTTTTCGCCATGGCTAGAAAAAATATTAGGAGTAACTTTTGCTTGCTTTGAATTTTGAAGAACCTAAGCGGTACGAGAGGGGAATTGTTAATGATCGAAAAAACTTCCGAAGGCGGCGGAAGCCTGACACCAAATACAATAACCATCTAACATGGTGTCTTGAATTAAATTAGAGCGCACCTCGATCATGCCAAAAGAAAGAAAAAAAAATCATTCCTCATTTAAGAAAATTTGGCAAGTCGATGAGTTACCGTTTGCTTCACAACAAATTTGGGGTTCTAACAAAGTCACAAAAACATTACTTGTCCCTATGTTAGAAACAGAAATTATATGACAGTAAATCGTTTTATAGAAACCTAGGCAAAGTTTTTAATAATTAAAACATGTCATAACATAAAGTGATTAAGTAACACCACGTAATAGTATTACCCGCAAAAATATTTCATCCATAAATATTATTGAGTACATTATTCAAATTGCTTACAGCCATTGGGGGTGTTTTGAGTCTGCGCTCACTTGCAAAATTTAAACTAAGGAATTTGAAACTGGCCCAATTTGAGTATTGTGCTTTGCAACACTTCCTTTTTACAATTAGTGTTTGCGCTTCCATTTCACAATTAGGACTCGTCTCTAGAACTGGAATTGGAAACGGGATCGGACCTTTGCAGTGATTAGCCACACCTTTGAGTCTTGAAAGGGTTCAGGCTTCCGATCCCTGTCAAAACAAGGTGTTCATCTCGGGTAAGTAGATTTAGGGTTTTAGAATCACCTAATCGCAATTTCGAAATTGAATTCCTGGTTTTGGGCACATTCTGAGTTGGAGTAAGGTGCCAAGGTCCAGGAAGAGTTTATTCTAATTCACTGCTACGAAATGTAGGGTTTTGGGTTTTGCAGTTGCAGGACAAAGAGGATGAAAGTTAACATTCTTGCGTGACCTTTAACTAATTTCTTGCGTGACCTTTAACTGTGTTATTCTGTTCTTTGTTTCGAGTGCACTAATTAATTTATACCAATTATATAGCTTTTGTTCCTCTTCTCATTTCTTCAATGGCGTTAACCTTGTTGGATTTAATCACGGAGACGGAGACCCCTGACAAAAACACTACGGCGGCTTCAGGATTTGAATATGAAATGGACAGGGAAACAACAATGAAGCCACTCAAGTTGGTGATGACGTTGACGACTGCGCGAGTGGGTTTCATTTTTTATTTTCTGATTTTTAATTCTTGGATTTTGTTGTTGGAGGATGGGTGCCGTGGTTCTCAATATAGTGTGATTCATCAAAAATCAAATTCAAGACGTGCCGTGTGGAATACGAGTTTAGAATTTGTTCTTAACCACTAGGTCAGTCCATGGTAGTTGTAGTTCTAGTTTTTAAATTCTTTCCTTGTTATTTTAACACAGCTTAAGTGGAAATTGTGCACTCAACTTGCTATGTAATTAGTACTATAGTCTAGTATTATTCTTCTTCAGTTGTAAGTGAGAGGTCTTACGTTCAATGCTTGCCAAAGAAGAATTTGAACCACATTATTGCTAGCCTATTGTGAGGCGTAGCCCACTCCCCCACAGATGTAGTGTAGATAATATTGTTTATTCAAAAAAAAAAAAAAAACTTTCTATACAATTAGATTCTTGGAGTGTCAATAATAGTTCCCATAACTATAATTTTAAAGGAAAACTAACGAAAAGTCAAAAAAAAATTTTAGTTTTAATGAAAAATAGATAATATTGTTTGTTAAAAAAAAAAAAACTTTCTATACAATTAGATTCTTGGAGTTTCAATAATAGTTCCCCTAACTATAATTTTAAAGGAAAAATAACGAAAAGTCCAAAAAAAAATTTTAGTTTTAATGAAAAATAGATAATATTGTTTGTTAAAAAAAAAAAAAACTTTCTATACAATTAGATTCTTGGAGTTTCAATAATAGTTCCCCTAACTATAATTTTAAAGGAAAACTAACGAAAAGTCCAAAAAAAACTTTAGTTTTAATAAAAAATGACAAATAAATGTGTAGTGAATAGTACCAGGGAAAGGTAAAAATGTGGTATTTCGTTAAAAATGAACAGTATCAGGAATGTTTCGTTAAAACTCCCTAATTTTAATTATATTTTGTACCCATGTGATATTATCTAGCATATGCGTAACATGTATTTATCACATCATCACTCAACAATTAATGTGGCCGATTAACTATTGAAAGTCTAACATGAGAAACAATATTTTAAAGACAAGGTATGAGAACATAATCTTGACAAAATGTAATTTATTGAAATATATGTTATACATACATTTTGACACACTTATTTAATCCACTTCATAGTGAATTTCAATCTTTTGAGTCTTTCGTCAAAGATCACTTTCCACAAAAAATCACACAAATTCAAAATCATATAACTAGTGGATTAAATGGTAAACAATTTAGTATTTATTTCCAACCTTTTTCAATGATCCAAACCGTCAATATTTAATTTAGGGTAATACTAGGGAGATCAAATTTTTAAACCAAATTTTGTAAATCAAATGATGTGGTTGTTAATGATTGAATAATTACTAACGTGTTGATTGACGCACTTATTTTCTATTGGTGACACATCATTTAGTTTGCAAATTTGGTTTAAAATTTAGTCTCTCTAGCATTATCCTTTAATTTGTCATTCATAAATTATTCTTGCAAAAAATTAGAAACTCAAAACAACTAAGACAACTAATTGTAGTGAATAAAATCAACGAATACAGCTTTTCAAAGAATAAAAAAAATGACTACCATTTAATCCAACAGTCATATGATTTCAGATTTTGGTGATTTTTAGTAGCTTTGAGGGAACAAAATTTTTACATTCAGGGGGGAATAAATTGCTTTCAAACTCGTTAACTATGATATTCAAATCTAAGATCTTTCATATACAAGAAATGAGAAATCATATAATGCAAACCAAAGGTACCAAACTACTCTCATATATAAAATATTAATTTTAGTACATAAAATCAAGAAATTAAGAGAACCCTGTGGTTTTGATGCCAAGGTAAGCAAGCATCAAACTAGAAATAACTTAAAACAACGCTGAAGCAAAACAACAGAAATAACAAACAACAAAAACTACTTAAATAGCTTAAGAGAAATTAAAAGGGTTCTTAGACCACCTAGCACCACCAAACATGTAGTCCTAATCCCCAAGCGGCATTATCTGATCATCCACATCACCAAATTTTGAGGTCAGCACGTCCCCCACAGACCATGGAGCCAGTTGTATGGCGTCTTGAGTGTTCTCATTAGCTGATGCTGCATGCGCTGGTGGTTGTCCAACTAAGGGCTGATTTATATCTGCCAGCTCGTTCTCCTTTCGGCTTTTAGTCACGGCAATGTCCTTCAACTTCTCGTCGATCATCCACCCCATTTCATGTAAATTGGTGAAGTCCAAGCCATTTAAGGGTTTCCCCGCGAGGCATTGGCTCATGGCCATCCGAAGTTCTTTCTCTCGGTTTTCTTTCTTCAACTTGTTCAGCTTCTCCTGCACCTTTTCGATCCTCTGCTTCAGAAACATCCCATGGGTCACCATCTTTTTGTTTCGCTCCTTCTCAGGCACGTTCTTAAGCAGCTCGATGAGGCGTCGCACCTCCGAAGGATCAGGCCAGACATCAGGTTGAGGCATATCTGGACTATACATGATAGCACATGTTGGGACGTCACAAAGTTTATTGATTTCATACATCTTCTTCATGAAGCCCGTCCTCCTTTTCCTGAATGTCGCTTTTCGCGACGAGTCGTTCTCGATGAAGGCTAGTTTTGGCTTCCTTCTAGTCATAGTTTCTCAAAAGAAAGAGAAATGGAAACTAGGGAAATGAAAGGAAGAGGCAGATTTAGGTTTTAGACTATTAGCCGGTGTGCTTTACCCTATTTATAGTATTTTGCAAGGCCTACTCAAGCAATTATGAAAGATTTTGTCCTCAATAAAAATTTAATACTTTTAAAACGATAAGTACACATTTTTTTTCGACTCACACATACTTCTGTTTAATTATGACCATTATTTCCATTTGATTTATTTATTTAATGGTCATGAATAAAGAAAGGTGTGCAAAAATCACCTCCTTTAATATTTCTGTGACTAACAAATTTACAGTGAAAATCTAGGCCGGGGATTTATTAGCATAATAGAAGTTTATTTACATAGGTTTCTTGGATTTTTATTTGATATTATCCACCATTTGGTTTATGGAAGTTTATCTTGAAATTCATTTATTAAAAGACAATTATTACATACAAGGTAAAATTTTCTGTACGGTTCATTCATTCATTAAAAGACAATTATTACATATAAGGTAAAATTCATTCTTCTTTAAGAAATTTTTGTTTCTCTCTCTTTTCTGGCATGCATACGGATATGCTATATATATATCAGGCAGTTTCAATTTCTAATTTTACCTTTCCGCATTTAAAAATGAAAAAAAAAAATCTTAAGAAAAATTCATCCCTCATTTTTTTTAGTACATAGATATTTTTACACTAAGGGGAGGAGAAGTTCGGTTAAGTCACACAATGGGCAATCTAATTTGGTATCGAATTCGTCATCCACGAGATTCGAACATAAGACCTCTCACTTCCAAGTGAATAGGAATACCACCAGACCGTAGTACTTTGTGGCAAATTCATCCCTCATTTGAATGAATGCTCACCTATCGCTCTGATGCGATAATGTATTTCAATTTCTACTTTCTAATATCAAATGTATTATAAAGTTGGACAAATAATATCACATGCCAGTATGACGTATTCTCGAAAAACTTCCCTTTCTACTATTGGGCCCACTTGCAAAATGTTAAACATTATGAATTCAAATTCAGCCCAATTGAGTTCTGGTCTCTCAACCCGCCCAAAACTGGACCGCGGCTTTTCACTTTTCCAATTAGGGTTTTTCAGACTCAGAGATATCGAGAGGGGTACCGGAACCGGAACTGGAATCGGATTAGAGTCCGATTTCTGCAGTGATTAGCCATATATTTCATTCTCGAGAGGGTTCAGGCTTGCGATCTCCGTTGAGCTTGAATCGAGGAGTTTGTTCGGTGAGTACATTTTGGAATATGAAATTCCTGAAATTCTGGGAACATTTGGGATGTTTGGGATTTATTCTAATTCACTGCTCTGAAATATAGGGTTTTGGGGTTTTGCAGTTGCAGGAGAAGAAGATGAAAGTCAACATTTTGCGTATCCTTCTCACTGTGTTTGTCTGTTCGTTCTTTCAAAATACACTACTTTATACCATTTGTAACTGGATTTTTTTATTTTCCTCTACTTTTTATTCCAAGTTGTTAACTTTATTGCATTTAATCATATGGTAGATTAAATTTCAGCTTGATAGTGTCGAATTGGTACAATTTCGATTCTGTTGTTTCTTTCAAATCTACTAGTTTATACATTTTAGAAACAGCTTGTGTAGTGTTTTGTTCTTTCACTTCTATGGTGTTAAAATTTTGCAGTTAATCATGGTGGAACGAATTTCCGCTTGACAGTGTTGAATTTCTATGATCTGTCTTTTTGTCGTGAATTACGAATAGTTAATGAGCTCTAGAGTTTTACTACCTTGATTGTAGTCTAATGTTACGAATGTCGATCACTAGATCAGTATCTTATAAGTTAGCCATGAATCTCAAGCATATGTTCCCCCTTTAATTATTCGGTGCGAGTATTTTGATAACAATAATCGTAATAACTTGAGAATCCCATTTGCTCGTGTGGTCTTGTTATAACTTGAAACATCTTTGTTGTGAAATCGTTGGACGCATTATGCATTTTATTGAAACAGTTTTCTCTTGACCCAACTACCTTTGCAAATATCTGCTGTGGGTTTTAAACAGAGTATGTCCTGTTTACCTCGTCTCTATCTGTTCTGTTCATTAATCAATTCCTGCATGTGTGAATCTGTCTCTAACATTGATGTGCCCTTTTTTCTGGGATATGGTTTATTTCGTCTACTTTGGAGCTCTAATTCTTATCCTTTTGGACCTTCAGATGGCATGCTGTTGCTTCATGGACATGGGATGCACAAGACGAAACATGTGGGATTTGTAGGATGGCATTTGATGGTTGTTGTCCCGATTGTAAACTCCCTGGGGATGATTGCCCACTAAGTAAGTCACTAACATTACCGTCTTTATGCCTTGCACCATGTTTTATGTTTCACCAAATTCTTACATTTCTTCTATTATTAAGGTCCACGTCCAGAAATTGATTTTCATATTGACCTATAAACATGCCCTGGTTGAAAAGTGAAGCTCATGGTGCCTGTGTCCACATGGTTGTGCCTTTTTTCACTTTCCTATCATGATTTATGCGGGTCTTGCTATTCTTCCATATATAATGGCATCGATTCATAGCAATGCTTTGTTGCAAAATATTATGGAATATACAGTTCATTGATAATTTACAGGCATCGACATTTGGATATTCTTTCTTTTTATACTCTGAACTTCCCAAATATGATTCAAATGCCTAACATCAGATCTTGTGCCGACACCTTAGAACATCATTAACACATGGTTTCATAGAACATCATGTTACACATGGTTTGCAAAGCACACAACTACCATGATATGCTCCCAAGCTAATGGTCAACCTCTGTATTCCTGATTATAGTATCAAGCTGGCCAACTGAATTGTTATTTTTTGCATTGAACCAACCAGATTGTGACATTTCACATTTTGTGTTAGTCGTGTGATTTCTATTGATATAATTTGACGACAAATTATCTTCTATTCGCAGTTTGGGGTGCATGCAACCATGCGTTCCATCTTCATTGCATCTTAAAATGGGTAAATTCACAGACGTCTCAGGCACATTGCCCCATGTGCCGTAGGGAGTGGCAATTCAAAGGATGATAGACAGATTGGAATCACTTTTAAAGTATTCTTGCGTACTCTCTCCCTCTTCAACTGCAGGTTTGCAAATGTTTGATTGTATACTGGTTGATGTAAATTGAAACCACCCTATATCTGCTGTGTATTGGCTTATATGAGCTGAAGTAACTCCGTCGTGCGGCGTTACTTCTCAATCATTCATTGTATTCCCTTCATAAATCCGCTCTCTTAATCTAGAGATCCTAAAAGTGAACTTGAACCATGTTTTATATGTTTGTTTATCAATTAAGATTCGGGAAGCAGAGACAGCGTGAAAAAAAATTCCATCTTTAGCGGTTTTCAGGATCTCTGCTGAAACATGCAGCGAGGAATTTTCCAGTGTTAGCGGCCGTGTAGAACCGCTGACTTTGTTTTGCTGCTCGTAATCTTCTTATCTTGGTGGATTTAATAAACTAGTTAATGCCTTGTTAATCTTAATTTGGAATTGGATTCTCACAAAGGGTACTTGTCAATTTGGAAAAGAGAAAGAGTTGGGTTGAAGTTTTGATGGATTCTCACTGCTTTAGGAAAACTAATGAAAATGGCTTGAAAACTTTGAGTTTTAACGATAAGGACAAAATAAAGGGTAAAGTGAATAGTACCAGGATTGACTTTTTAGTGTAAAAATGTGGTTTTTCGTTAAAATGAACAGTACCGAGAGTTTTTTGTTAAAGTTCCCCTTTAACGCAACCTCCTGGATTAGACACCACATGTGCCTTGCTCTTACCATATATGTCTTTCTTAATACGATTTTAGACAAAGTAATATTTGACCGAGGATTCTCAGAAAGTGACATATAAAGTAGCTTTAGTAGGATAGATTCTTAGTTATCCGATTCTTAGTTATCCATCATGGTTTGTTTCCTTGCCTCAATTTAATTCAACCAATGATGAGATGAGATAGATACAAAAAGAAAATACAACTGGTTAAATCCCTTTGCTCGTAATCAATTTTGGAGAAACGGAGATTAAAGTTAATTGAACACTTGGGTTGCAGTGCGCTTGTAGTTCAGTTTGTTAAAACCGTTTACTTGCATCTGTAGTTTTATTCTCCCTCCGCTATTAGTGAAGAGTTTTTATGACGCGTATACATTGCCACAGTGGCGTCCGTGTACAAATGAAAACATAAGGGTCGGACCATCAGCACCGTGTTGATGCAATTGGTTGCATGCTAGGTAGCTTCCTTCACGCTCCTCTTGAACAGAACCACTGGCCAAAATGTTTTTTGTTTTTAAAGTCATTTTTTTTATAAATTATATTATCTATTTTTTTGGTCGAAATTTATAATATATTTGAGAGACAAATTTCACATAAGAGGATCTTTTCCAGATCTACTTTATGGAAATCCTACGGATCTCTATATTTTATCTGTTCAGTGTACATCGTGCGATCAGTTTTCGTTAGGTATTATTTGTGTTTAATTTTAAATAAAAAAGTCAAATAATTTCTGACCATACGATATACGATAAATGATTAAGATGTGAAGATTCCTAGAATACTCACAATTTAGATCTGAATGGGATCCAAATCCAAATTTCACATCCTAAAAGAATATGTCGCCTGGCTATGATGGGTAGGGGCTCTTTCCTTTTGCTTAACAAGGACGCTACAAACAATATATATGAACCAATAATGCAAAAGTGAATTACGTCGGTTAGCGAGAGTCTCGTGCATGCCCTCTGAAATTCAACTTCGAATTTCACTCCCATAAATTAGGAAAATTTAAGTATATTTTATACGGAAATCTAAGAGTCTGTTTTGTATTTTACTTGAATCTAACTTTTTAAGCTCAAAAACAATTTTCAAGTTTTAGGCCTTAAAAATTTGTTTGGTAGGACTATTTTCAAAAACTGAACTCAAAACTAACTAAAAAATATAGTCTATTATCTAAAAACATAAAAAGTGAATTTTTAGAGTTTTTAAACTTAAACTCACTTCTTTCTTTTCTCTTCCTCCTCCCCTCTCACTCCAAATCTATCTTTCTATATTTTCTTCTTTCTCTCTCCTTTTTTTTTTAAACCTTTTTCATCTCTTCTCAAATCCGCTCTCTTCATTCTCTCGATTTTTTCTCACTCTTCTTCTTCCCTATCTTGTCTGATCCTCTCTTCTTTCTCTTTCCTTCAATCATCTCTTACTTTCTTTTCTCCTCTCATGTTCTCCCTCTCATGCGACCCCTTCTTTTTAGATCTCTTTGTCTAGTTTAAGTTGTAAGATTTAAAAATTTTAAATCGCAAACCAATCAAGTTTTTTAGTCTTAAATAAAATTGTTTTCAAGAAATATTCTTAATAAATGTTTTAAGAAATAATAAAAAATTTCAAATAAGATACCAAACAGGCTGTAAGATACTTTGTAACCCAATTGGGTGAAATGAAAAACCAAATTACATTACCATCGAAATAAAAAACAAATTACACTGACAAATGAGTAAGACTGAGCATGTGAATAGCATTAGTCTATCTTTACAATAGACAGATAATAGGTGGAAGGAAAATTAAATTAAAATAAAAAACAAAAAATGAACAATCACTACATGAAAACATCAACCATCCACTTGGCTGCACCAGATAATCAAACGGCTGAAAACAATCCAATACTGCAAACACAAAATGACACATGTGTCCTTCACATCTCTAATACCTGTCCAGCAAAGGAAAAAAACGTGGCATTAATAAGTTGGTGCAGGTCATGTCACGTGGACCCATACCCACCGTTATAGTTGGGCCGGTGGCCCACTGAAAGGAACGTTTGCCTAATCATATCATTTAAACTTGAGGTATTCATCAATTCCTCCCTGAACTTGTGACTATTGGCTAATTTCCCCCCTTAACTTTAATTTTGACCAATTTCTCCCCTCAACTCTCATAATTAGTCAATTTTCACCCTACTGTTAATTTTTTTTAATTTTCCATCTATTCTTTTTTTTTTCTTTCAATCTTTCTAATAACTTCCAACAAAGTACTAAAATTAACATAAACTCACATGCATAATATAGGGTAAAATGTACAAAAACATAATACAATTAGTATGTGATATGGGTTGATTATAAGAAAAAGTTATGAATCGAGTTTAAAGCATGTAGAAAAAGAAATAATAATCCTAAACTCATGGATCAGACCTATTTCAATAAAATGGGTTATTCTTAATAAGGAGTCGAAAATTATGAATTGACTAACCATTTTTTGCACTAAAGCTCGATTCTCCTCAATTTACTTGAACTTAGCTTTCACTTTTATAAAGAAAATTGTATTCACATACAAAAATGTACACATGAATCCTTTTCGTTATCAATTTTGTATAGTAAAAAATCAAATAAAATTACCCCATACTGATTTATTACGACTAATAATACTATCCATGATAAATTGTAAAATTCTAAATTTTAATCTATTTGTAATAGGATAAAGACATAGGAAAATGATTAACATACATCTTATTTAGTTTCTTACACACACTTGTTTAATTATGATCAAATTAAAAAATTAACAGTATGGTGCAAATTGACTAATTATGAGAGTTGAGGGGGAATTGACTAATTATGAGAGTTAAGGAGGGAAATTGGCCAAAATTAAAATTGAAGGGGGAAATTGGCCAATAGTCACAAGTTCAGGGGGAAATTGATGAATACTTCTTTAAACTTTTATCCTCCTTTTTATTTATTTTTTATTTAACAAAACTAAAAGAAAATTTTGTTTTATTGAAATTCAAACGGTTGAATAAAACGTCAGGGATTACAACGCTCCTTCTCTTAATCTCATGGATTTTGAGCGAGGATCCGATTCTCTTTGTAAGAATCTTGAGGATCTCTGTACATCGTACAGTTAGAAATTATTATAAATTTTTTAATTTAAATCTGAATATAAACAGTAGTGGACGAAAACTAATAACACAATATACGAGATAATCAATTTAAAGTGCAGACGGCTAAAAACGGAGCGCTCGAATAGCTACCGAAACAAGATATATTATCAGCGAATTAAGAGAAGTGAGTGCTTACAGAAATTGGATATCACTTGGTGATGACATAAATGGCATAAATAATCCCAGGGAGGTAACCAAAGATGGTCAGCAACAACAGATCCAGAATTCCGCCTGAAAAAACATCACATGCACCGTATATTAGAACCATGAACCCTTGAATATGACTGTCGAACCGTTAAATCCGTAGAATTCTACTGGTCTAACGATTCAAACAGCGTTACCATGTGCGTGTTCGTGTGACGTATAATCTCTACAAACTAAACGGACGCAGAAGAAAGAACACTAACATGGCAACCAACTTGAGGAAGACTCCAAGAGGAGGCAAGAGGATGGCGATGAGAATGTCAACGCAGTTTAATGTTCCTTCGCTCGCCATATTTGCTGACAATTTTTTGCAGGAAAATTGAGAGAGTTTTGGTAGAAGAAGAAGTAGGGCAACTGGTGGAGGTGTGTGGTGGGATTGACAGAAACCGTGAGTGGTTTATATATATACAGCTCCTCCGTGTGCTGATGGGACACGTGGAGATTTGGTGGAGACACAGCGATACAATTTACTACGCGGTTCCTTAACCACGTGAACTTTCTAGAGAAGTAAATCTTACTTTTGGGGTTCCATAAGAATCATACAGCACGGTAGGGCTGCTGTAGAATCCGTATCCGAATAAAGAAGCAAGAATCATACAGCTCAGTTTATTCATGGAATGGGTGTACATGGCACGTGCGAATCTCCCATGTGCTTCTTGTGTATTATAGTTAGGGCGTAAGATTTTCTCAGCTGGAAATTCCATCCATCTAGTCCTCTCCTATCTTACTTTTTTCTTTTTCTCTTTATAAATAACTACACAAGATGCTGACTTGATTTAGTCGTGACATTTCAAATAGAAGGAGATTAAGGCCTGGTTTGGTACTGAGGTGATTTTGAAAAAAGCTGGGAGCTTTTTTGTGTTTGGTAAACATTCAGCTTCAGTTTTTTTTTCACAGTTTTGGGTGAAAAAAAGCCAAAAACAAGAAGCTGCAAAACCCAGCTTTGAAAAATCGGCTTTTTTTTCACATCTATTTTACATAAAAGTTTACCAAACACTATAATACTTTTTTTTTTTTCAAAAGCATTTTTACAAAAAAAGTATACCAAACACTCTACAGCTTTATTTTACAACTACTTATTCTCACAGCACAGCAGAAGCAGCTTTTTTTCAAAGCACATCAATACCAAACCAGCCCTAAAAGGATGAGATTTAGAGAATAGATAATCCTAGCTACTCCGTTAGTTAGAGCTAACAGCACGTTTGAGGTAATGGCCATGAGATTCCAAGTTTCTCATATTGTGTATTATAAGGTTTTGAAATTACATCAGCTTACACCGTTTTATATCTTTGAATATCCAATCATCAATTAAATTGATGAGTTTCTTTTCAATATGGTTGAGATGTGACTTACATGGTACCACATAAAAATCATTAGCTCATCACATCATCTATTTAATAAATAATCGTACAATGAATTAGATCGAAGACACAAATTGATATAATTTCAATACTTTATGGTGTAATATGAGAAAATAGACACTTCATGCCCCATTTTGAAAATCACCACGAGCCAAGAGGTGTAAAACGTGTTAACCTTTACAGTTAAGTTTAAACTCATATTTTGTTTCAATAGTGCTAGATTTGTCAAATTTATTCACCTAATGATGTATTTGTCGACATGTTAGAGTCTTATTTGTATTGCCCTTGAGACTATTAAGATCGAATTATGAATGTAATTGCCTTTGGGAAAGGAAAAAAAAAAAAAAAAAAGTCCAAATGCAGCCGTATTTAAATAAATGACAAAAAAACACGTTATTGAACTACTAAAATTTGGTGCGGGTGCAAGTAGCATGTAGTTTAGTTGGTTAAGAATGTTTTCTCTTTTATTGGAGGTCCCAAAATAAAAGTCCACCTCCCAAAATATTGCTTGTTTCAAAGAAAATATAAATTAGTTCACGTAATTGAAGATTTATCACTATGTTGCAATTTAATTTAAAATAATTTTTTGCACGACTCAATTTTTTTTCAAGTCTAATTGAATTTGGAGGTGTTTGTACCATACTTGACCAATCCCGAAACTACCGAGCACCGGCCAACGCTATACTGTCAAGGACCCAGAAGAATTCCCCTCCGACCAGGAGGCCAATCACTACTCGACACGTGTCAAGATTAGAAGCCAATTAGAGCGCAGCACGTGTCAACATCAAGAACCAATCATAACATGACACATGTCAATGTGACAAAGCTACAAGTTTTTCTATAAATAGGGGTCATCCCCCCACAATATTGCCTAATGCCATTTGTGTTAAATCATTCACAAGAACTCACTAAATTGAAAGCTTGATCCTTTGTACTTGTGTAAGCCCTTCACTACTAATAAGAACTCCTCTACTCCGTGGACGTAGCCAATCTGGGTGAACCACGTACATCCTGTGTTTGCTTCTCTGTCTCTATTCATTTACGTACTTATCCTCACTAGTGACCGAAGCAACCAAGCGAAGGTCACAAAACCTGACACTTTCTGTTGTACCAAAGTCTTCGCTGATTTTGTGCATCAACATTTGGCGCCGTCTGTGGGAACGACACTTATTCCTACTCTCTTCAGCTGTGTCAAGCTGGTTTCTATCATTCGTACACTTTCTTTTGACCAGGCATCCCTCTCCAACATGGGAAGCGAAGGAAGCCACAACACACAGAATGACACCCCCTTGCACATAGTGCGAAGCAACGAAAGAAGGAAGGAAAACGAGTTCTTCTTCAAGCTAAAGTCGATGAGTTGGAAGCTCAGAACAACAAGATAGCAATGAGGAATGAGGTCCTCCAGGAGCAATATGAGAAGCTCTTCGAGACACTCCACGAAGCTAGGCAAGCTCAGACACGCGTGCTTGTTGCCCCCGTGGAAGTCAACCATCAACTGGGTGCCCTCCAACATGGAGGGTCACATGCATTCGACATAGATATCCCTGATAGGGAACAGATTACCCCTCGACTTGATAATCAACATGAGGCTTCTCTTAACCCAGTTGCTTCGACCCGAACCATGAGAAGTGGAGGGAGACACCTCTTTGCTGAAGGGGCAGAAGGATCGAAAGCCGTCTTTCGCGATTGTCGGGATTTCCTGAAGCAACGTCGAGAGAATTCCATCCATATAAGCTCAAAGATCAATGACCCAAGGATTTCTGAGAGACTCGGTCCCCTGCCACGGCCCGAGCCGGCCACCAATTTGGGGAAGGGGCAACAAGTCCTAGAGAGACATGAGGGTACAGGGGACTCAGAGGTGTTTCCGACAGACATACCCTGGAAGCCAGTACAGCGAGTCCAGGGAAAAATCACATGCCCTTGATCAAACCTTCCTAATTCCAAGAGGAGATGGAGATTTACGAAAGAAAGCTCCAGTGGCACATAACTCCGCTCAGGACCCCTTGTCCTACAACTTCTTGAGGAAGTAAACAAGTTGAAGGCTGAACGTCAGGCTGAAATACCTGACTGGAACCAACCCAGGCCTGGCCCTCTTACAAGGAGGATCCTCAACACCCCCCTTCAAGCAAAGACAAAGCAAAAGCTTGGCTTGCAACTTTATACTGGAAAAGAGGACCCGATTGAGCACCTTAACCTCTTTGAGTCCACCATGGCATACCGGATGCACACCGACGAAGAGCGATGTCTTCTCTTCCCCTCCACCCTCTCTGGCGGAGCTCTAAATTGGTATTGTCGTCTTACACCTGAGACGGTAGACTCATTTGAGGAATTGAGGAAACTATTTGTTTCCCAACACATTTTCCAAACCGATCGCTTGCACTCTGCAGATGACCTGTACACTATCCGCCAGAAGCCAGACGAGTCATTACGTATGTATGCTGGCCGCTTCAGCCATGAATACTCCCGGTGTGCCGAGGCAGACGACAAGACTGCCCTCAAAGCCTTCACGGCAGGCCTACGTGATTGTTTCTTTAAATACATGATCAATGCCAATACTTGGAAGACTTACTCTGAGGTGATGGCGCAGGCTTATAACCATGCCTCCGCCGAGGCAAAGACATATCAGGAGAAACCCCCTACAACCATCATTTATCAACAAGTGGGAGGTGGAAGCCAGACTCACCTAAATGAGAAGACCTCGACTTTCCAAACAGCAGTGGCACCTCCCCATGCCTTGCATAATGCTTCGCCGAATCAACAGACATATCAATTTCAAGGCAAGAGGAAGGATTTCCATCCTCACCACTCTCATTTCAGTAAAAAGAGTAAGGGACACTATCCCGATAACCAAAGGTATCGCCACAATAACGCTCGCCCCCAGGCAGTCAATGCAGTGGGTCAAACCCGCGTCAAGATACCCCCTACCCCAAGGTATGAGACATACACGCCCTTGAATGCCACATGCGCGGCCATTTACCCCCAGCATAGCTCACCTGATACCAAAGCCAAAGCCGAGGCACCCAGATTACACGCCCCCGAATAACGCGGGCATGTTTTGTTGCTACCATGAGCATAACGGCCATGATAGCGAGAAATGTATCATCCTCCGTGATCGTATTGAAGTTTTGGCACGAGAAGGAAAAATTGATCAATTCCTCCTTCACCCTCAAAGGGATAACCGTAACCAACGCCAGGTGAATGTCATATATTCCATAAGCGGCGGCACACACCCATATCTGAATCTTCCAATAGGGCCATGAAAAACAGTGAACGAATTCTGAGGCCTGGTCACCAAGTGTTTCACGTGGAAGACATCAGGGGAGGGAAGTATCAAAAGCCTAACTGGGATCCGATATGTTTCTACCCTGAGGAAGAAAGAGGCATCATCTACCCTCATAACGACCCATTGATCGTGGAGGCTCACATAGCCAACTTTGATGTTCGACGAATCCTCGTAGACACAGGGGCTTCGGTCAATATCATGTTTGCCGAAGCTTTCAGGGCACTCAGTGTAGCTGAACACTTGCTCGATCGCTCGATTTCTCTCCTCTAATAAGCTTCTCCGGTGATATCGTGCAACCCTTAGGGAGCATACATTTACCCTTTACTATTGGTACAGGCCCTTACACGGCTACCATTACCACTAACTTCCTAGTGGTTGACTGCCCAACGGCATACAATGTCATCTTTGGGCGCACAGGCATCAATGATCTCAAGGCTATGGTATCCACGCATATGCTGTTGATGAAATTTCCAACCCCCCATGGCAACGGCTACATCAGAGGAGATCAGCTTAGTGCACGATCATGTTACAACACTTCAGTTAAGCAACAACACTTGCCCGGACCCAAGGAAACCCTGTCTGTACATGACCAAGTCACAAAGACCAGCCTAGATGAAGCGAACTTGGATCTTCCTGATAGCAACAATCAACCCGATGATCCTCGAGATGACTCTTTTACCCAGCAAGCCCAACCTGCTGAAGAGTTGGAGAAGGTACCTATCTCAAGAGATTATCCAGATCGCATGGTGAAGATTGGCACCACATTGTCACCACCCATTCGGTTAGCATTGATATCTTTTTTGAAAGAGAACACTGAAGTCTTCGCCTGGTCATACGAGGACATGCCAGGCATCTCTCCCGATGTCATCTGTCATCGTTTGAGTATTGACCCCAAGATCAAGCCGGTGAGACAGAAGCGAAGATCTTA